GACAGAGGCAAAGATCAAGTTTGACTGATTTTTCACCAGAGTGTAATTTAAGAGGCATATTTAGAAACTCAGCAATACTACTTTGGGGAGAACTTCAACTGCTCCACGCAGCCATTAACTTGGTATTTCATTCAGTGCAACAGCTGTGCACCAGATGCTGCACGTTGCAAGAAATATAATTTTCATCTCAACCACTTGCTTTAAGAGCGACGCAGCTTTGGCAACTGAGGCAAGTGTGATTTCTCTGATAGCCTCCTAGAAAGAAAGGAAAAGTATCCATTTTGTGTCCAAGCTGCTACAGGTAGGGGACTGTTAGGGGTACCAAGGGACAAGGAGAGGAAAGGGAACTTCTGGACACATGGTTGGTGAAGATGGAGAAGGGAAACCCCTCAGAAAATGGTTACATTGCTCATGCAATATTGCACTGTCTGGACTGGTGGCTGGCTTCAGTATAGCAGCAAGGTTTTGTTTGAAGTGGCAGCCTTGCTTTACCAGAGTTGTGTTTAATATGAATAAAATCACTGATTAATCTTATACTTACTTGGAAAGAGTCAGGCGAGAGCCCCGGTTTGGTAACTAAACGTTAGTGCATCATGTACCTCATGAAATGCTCATCGTGGGAGGGAGCATTTTGGTAGCCAGTACGGCAGAGCTGTGCCTGTGCTTTGGGCTCTGAGGTGGCTGCAGCTGGGGTCTGATTTAAGCCTCTCCCTCTGTGGAGTGAAGCCCTGTTAGGGCACGTGTGCATCACGTTGCCTTAAGGCAGAAAAAAACCCCGAGTTGGTACATCCACATGGTGTAGCATCACCCTGCAACAGTAGCTTACGTCCTCAAAATTCTGTATGTGTCAGCACAGTGGTACATGTAAGGTGGCAAGGGCTTTCCTTCAACAAGCCCAGGCAGCAGTGGGTAAGATCACCGCACTGTGCTCCATGTCGGGTGCTGCTGTCCTCATGTGCTCTGTGTTCCGCTGCTTTCCCACCTCAAGATCCAGCACACAGTGACTAAGCAACTTGTAACTGTGCACTGACAGCAGAGCTCATGCACTCCCAAACCTTTGGAAGGGTTGCTGTGTCTTTGATCTTCAAATGTGAAGTCACTTAAAACATGTCTGTACAAAAGAAACTGCACAGCGAATTCACCCGTCCCAACACATCCTCACCCTTCCCAGCTAGCATCTGTATTCTGAAGGAGCAGAACAGGAAAACTCAAGGTAAATGTGAAGTAAGCATTTCACAGCTTCTTAAACTTGGTGATAAAAAGGCTTTTGAGCCTCTGCGTAATCCCTTTGTGCAATGACTAAGTAGATCCACCACCCAAATTCCTTTAGCATGAAGAAAGACACAAACTGCACACGCATGCAGGTGGATGGGTGTGCATGAGCTGTCACAGTAGCTCCACCATTGATTGATTTATCCCTTCTGTGGATTCTGCTCTCCTCTTGTAAATTCAAAAGGGAGAGGTGTTTAAAAAGGATCTAAAAATTCCTGAGCACAAGGCCACTGCTGTGGACTGTGCTCCACAGCTGATTTTTACTGTCCTTCTTTCACCGCACTCCTGCTTTATATCTACTACAAATGAGCCTTCATCTTCCAGCATGAGAAGTTGTCCCACAGAAATCAGCAAGACATGAGGGATCAACAGAGTTTTCAGGTATGACTTCCTGACCCAAAGGAAGAGAATCTCACTGCAGAGAGGGTAGAGTAGAAAAAGATCACATGAACGAGCCACATATTTCATGAGAAACCCACACCCAAATTTTCCAAAGCACTCATCATGAACAGCAAATGGATTTTCAGTAATGTCTCTGAGGCTAAAAATCCAGACCCAGCCTTTCTGATAGGTATGGCCAGACCGGTGTCAAAGGGCACCTGAGGTACAGTGATTAGTAGTGCAAGGTAGCACACAACCGTAAAGATTAAATGCTGGAGGTTGAAGGTGAGGGAACCATGCAATTACTGAATGCTGAGGCTGCTGTAGTTCATGGTACCTGAGGTATTTGTGTTACTTCAGTCAGTTGTCATTTTTAGTGCTGGGCTGATGTAAAAATAATCAAAGGAAACATATAGGGCATGAAAAATAGATTCAGCATCTGTATACAGCTGTGCACAAGCAGCTAGACACAAACATCGTAACTTACCTCAAATTGATGGCTATTACATCTACTGTAGCACATCAACATGATACATGAATAACCTCAGCTATTACTGCAAAATGTGCCCAACACCTGAGATTCCACAGCATAAGGATGTTTTACTGCAAGAGGATTTGATGGGCTTCTCTTTCTAAGGGTAAGAGATGCAAGACAATAAATAGCAAGAAGGTGTTGCATGCTTTTTGAACTGAAGAACGGCAAGACTCTATTACCGTAAAGTTATTGCAGCAAATTGCCATCTCACTTCCTCTTTCTTTACTATTAAAAAAAACCCAAGAACAAAAACAAAATGCAAAAACAACTAAAACCCTAAAACCTGAAAAACCTATTCAGCCTTTGTATTTGGAAATAGAATGCTCATAGCACAGAAAGAGCTTCTCAGACAGGGAGAATGTATTACATACCTATCAATTCCCTGGGAATGCTTTCCTTTCCCACACTTGGACCATCTCATGGTCCTGTGGATTAAGCTCAGTGAGAGGGAACAGGTCAGCACCACAGCACCAGCTTCCCTCTGTTGGACATTCAGACTCCACTGACTCCTTGTACTGCCAAAAGATTTCAGAGCAGGTGTGTGTTGGTGTCCATGACCACCACCATAATCAAACCATGACTGGTGTAGGAAATGACCATCTAGATCCTGCTATTTAAATTTTCCCAGCAAACTTCAATATTTCATTTTGCTTTGGAAGTAGAGGTATCTGCTTTGTAATCATTGTGCACCCACTGCACAGGAATCCAGGTCTGACCAGCAAGATGGTAACTTCCCAATTATCCTTTGGGGCTGAAGTCTTACAAATTTACTTTGGCTGAGTAATCTCTAACTCAGATTACTCAGGTGAAACTAATATCACCTCCTGTACAGGAAAGAAAGCAAAGCAGACTTTAATCCTTGAGTCTTAAAGACAGTGATTTACATAGGAGAACATCGTTGTGTTTCAGACCTACAGCCGCTCTCTAGAGCCTTGTGTGGCCACTGGCCAGCACCAGGTGGTTCAGGAGAAGGAGAGAGCACTCTGCAGGAGGCACCTGTGGTCTGCTCCACTGCACACACGGTTCTTTGCAGCTGGATCTCTGCTGAACTTTGAGAATTTAATATCCCTTCCAAGTTGTTTGCTATCTTACCTTGGCTATTCTTTTTAAGTGTTATAAATTCCCTCTCTCTTTTTTTTTTTTAAAAAAAAATATAGTCTTCATCCTGTGCCTATCACATAGAAATGAGATCTACAGCCTGACTCTTAAAGTTTTGGAGAAAAGTTCACCTTTTAGTTATGTTCAGTACTACCTTGTTTTTATCATGAGACATGACAATCAGAAGGTTCTGACCTGTGTTTTCTTGATTATTAGTTATTTTCCGTATTTATTTCCCATAGTTATTTTACCATATTACCTATAACTTTTCTCTCCAAAGAAAACAATCAAAGCTTTAGAGGTTCTTTCCTTTTTATGGGCCATTTATGGGCCATTAATCTTTTTAGAGCTTCTTTTCACCCCTTGAGAGGAGCGAGCAGCACTGGGCACTGCATTTGAACTTTTGTTTTAACATTACACAACAGTACTGTGTCTCCCCTTCCATTCATCTCATTTCAGACATCTGGGCATTCATATGCATTCTTCAGACTGCTTTGTAGATTATGCTTCAGTTTTTCCTGCCCTCAATTAATTCCTAGAAAGAAAAAGAGGCAGCAGAACAGGCCAACTTCATAAATCTTTATCTAATACTATAAGTCATTAGGCCTGTGAGTAAAGTCTCCATCTGTTCCCAAAGAAACCACAGCATTTTCTACACTGTGTCAGCATCTACTATAATATTTCCGCTCCCAGAGATTTCTTGAGCTTTCTCCAAAGGTCCCATATGTCTGCCTCTTCCTTTCTCTCTCCAAAGAAAAGCAAAGCAAATATGAAACACGCAAACGAAAACTAGAATGGCAGCAACTTGTTCAGGAAGCTGTGCCCCCTGCATCATAGGCCAAAACTGACCCATTTTTGGAAGGAGTCCTAAAATAAGAGCAGGCTACTAGTTTCTACAAGGGAACACAGCTCAATAATAAACAAGGGTAGCATAGCAGCTTCCAGCACTGCTTCTTACTGTATCTTTGTCCTTTTCAAGCGACTGTTTTCTCCTAGCAATCCAGCACATTAACATCTATCATGGCCTAAATAGATTTTTTTTTTATATGTATTTCACCTGGTGTGAACTCTGGGGGACCTAAGGGAGACCAAAGTAACCAGTTCTTGCAAGCCTGGCTCAGGCAAAACTCGCCTTGAAGCTACTGTGTGTTTTGCCTCAGTACAGACTGCAAGGCTCACAAACTCATTATAGGTTACTCTGTTGCTAGCATGATTTTGTACTTAAATGAAAATTGTTGACCAGGAAAGAAAAAGGGAGGGAGAGAGGGAGCGTGTGGGAGAAATACATTTCAAACATGTGGGAGAAATACATTTGAAACATTTTTGAAAATGCCAGCTGGCTTTGCTTTGTTTGGAGCTGGTCAAGCGGAACAGTGGCACTGAGCAGCTAATCAGTAGCTCCTACTCCTCCAGAGAACAGCCAGCTCCCTTCACACTTGGCACTGGCACAGCACAGCTGAATACCCTTGTGTTTGCTTATTCTCTTGGCAGAAGTGAAAGAGTACGAGCCCCCGTTTGGCTCTAAAGTGCGAGAACACCCGTGCGTGGAAAGCATGAAGGACAATGTCCTAAGAGACAGAGGGCGACCAGAGATCCCC